TGGCTGGGCTGGCGTGGTGGCACACACCTTTAATCCCAGCACTTGGGAGGCCCAGCCTGGTCTACATAGTGAGTTCCAGGACAGCGGGGGCTAAAGGGAGCCCCTGCTTAAAAAAGAAAAAAAAAAAAAAAAAGAAAGCGGAGCAGGGGCCAGGGGAGCAAGCCAGTAAGCAGCATTCCTCCATGGCCTGTGCTCCAGCTCCTGCCTCCAGGTTCCTGCCCTGAGTTCCTACCTTGGGCTCTCGGGTGAACTGTGACCTGGGATGTGTAAGCTAAATAAACCCTTTCCTCCCCAAGTTGGTAGTGGTCAGAGTATTTTGTCACAGCAATGAAGAACAATCTAGGACATCAATTAACAAAGAAGTTTTCAGTTAAAACAACTTTCTCAGAATTGCAGAAACAATGGGCTTCATGGAGATGCAGGTATAGCTGGATGAGGGCATTCTGCCTGGCTAGTTGTAAGTTTCTCAGTATTGTAGAAACAATGTTATCCCTGAGATGCAGGCACTGCCTCCACGTCTGTTCTGCCTGGCTGACTGCAGTTAGAGCAGGGGGCAGAAACACAGGGTGACCAAAAGTCAGCCAGAATAAAATGAAGTCAGTTTTGCCATTTCAGTAGTAGTTTAGTTCTGTTTTCTTGATAAATGGAAACCATTTTTGAAAATTAAGTGCCTTGGGCTGGAGAGATAGTTCAGCAGTTAAGAGCACTGGCTGCTCTTGCAGAGGACCCAGGTTTGATTCCCAGCATCCACATGACAGCTAACAACCATCCATAAGTCCAGTTCCAGGGGAATCCGATACCCTCTTCTGGCCTCCGTGGGCATTGAACGACATGGATGTACTTACATACATGCAGGCAATACATTCATACACATAAAAAAAACTTTTTTTAAAAAAGAAAAATGCCTTGAGTATGTTTATGTCAGCTCTTGCTTGTAACACAATCATGAAATAATAATGACCTGTCCTGAAACCACTGTGTAGAGCGATGGGAAGGATTTGGTCTGCCCTGTGGTAATATCTGCCCAACAGTTGAAGTTGACACATGTTTAAATCTAGGTCTGTCAGTTAGTAGCTATGGAATCTCAAAAAAGTCATATTACAACATAAAGGTGGTACAATATCTACTTCTTAGTTATATACAGTGATCAAATATGATAATAAATGTCACAATAGTTTCTAATCTAGAAAATGTGTGTATATGTAAGACAAAGTGATCTGGGGTCACTTCAAAAATACTGAGGAATTTTTCTAAACCTGAGAAAGATCAAAAAGAAACAAAGAGCAAACACGAACAAGGTTGGAAGGAGCACATGGATTTTTAATTTAGTGCATGCTACCTTCAATAAGCTCTTCACGGATGACCCTATTGGAATGTAATAATTTGGTGCTTGAAGCTTCTAGTGAGAGCTTTCGCATTGTGGCCTTGCACAAATTTAGGATTTAGTGTCCGCTATGCACCAAGTAGTAAGCCCACAAAGATGCACGATGAGGGGTCATGGTACAGTAACCAAACAGGAAATCCCATTAATGGCTTTGGTGGTGAAGTGCTTTCCCAGCACATGTGAGAACCTTGGTTTCAACACCAGCACTGCTAAAAACAAAATCCTTCACAACAAAAGCTCTCCATGTAGGTGCAGGTTGAAAGAATTTTTAGGAATTTTGCATCAGGGTGGGGAGGGGGTACCAGAGGAATTCTGCAGTCAGAAAAGACTTTTCTTTTTTGTGTGCTTGTGTGTGTTCATGTGTGTGTATGCATGCACATGTGGAGGTCAGACAGCAACCCCAAGCATTGCTCCTCAGAAGCCACCTACCTTGTTTTACTTGAAACAAGTTCTCTCACTGGGATCTGGGTCTCACAGATCAGGGTAGGCTGTAGGCCAGTGAGCTCCAGGGATCTGCCTTTCTCCTCAAGCAAGCATCACCATGCCCAGCCTTTTTAGTTTTTAAACATGGGTGCTGGGGAAGGAACTCAGCTCCTCAGGCTTTCGTGACTGGCACTTGCTCACTGAGCTGTCTCCCGTCCCCAGAAAAGATCTGAGTGTAACAATTAAATTGTTTACTTAAGTATGGGGCGCACTGGGCACCAGGTGTGGGGTGCACGGGTATCTGCTCCTGCGCTGCTTCCCTGCGTCTTCCGTGGCTCTCTGCTGCTGAGAGTTTGCTCAGCCGAGTCCCGCCCTAATTTCACCTGTGCACTTTCCTCAAGATGCGAAATCCACTGGCCGCTGGATCATGCGGGAGAGTGTGAGGGTGGCTAAAGCTGGGATCCGTGAGTCGGTGATGGAAAGACAGCTCTTCCCGGGAAGGCTGGATCGTAGGCAGTGAGACAAGACTCAGCTCAGTCAGACTCAGTGTTACAGCTCTTTATTCAATGGCTCTGCATGGCTCCAAGTCTCAGTGTCCCAGCTCCTAGTCTCAGATCCAGCTCCTTCAATTATTGAGGGGAATCAGGGAACTTTATACCGTGGGGGTAGTGGTAAAAGCTTCAGCTGATAGGTACTTTGGGGATGCCTCATTTGCATGTGGAAATGGGCTCCCGCCAGGCTGCCAAACTGCTTGAAAATCACACAGGAAAGCCTAATAGTTACAGAGCCGGAGGCTACATTCCTGTGGCTGCTACTTCACAAAGGAGTCAGGAAAAATGCCAGGAAGATGCCCTGCTGTGAAAGGAGTCTCTGCATATGGCTCCAAGCTTGTGAGCTATCCAGACATGAAGAAACTTCTACTTTATACAACAAAGGTCCCCAACACTTAAGGATGAAAGGGAGTTAGGTAAGAAAGTCTAAGGGAGAAACATACTAAACAGAACCCTGTAGTACATTCAACCAGCATTCCCTCCTGCCTCCCCTCCAACATTCTGAAATATTTAGGAAGCAGGCAGCAGGATCACTTCTGCAATCATTTTTTTCTAATAATGTACTGAAAAGCACAGATTAGTACCTAGCAGATTTTAGGTACTTAAGAAATGTGTTCTTCTGCTTCTGTTTTTATTAACTTATGCTTGCTAGATTCTTAAAGTTGTATCTCAAATTGGGAAAAATTAGAAAACCATAGCATTTACAGGCTGTTGTTTAAACAAAATAACAAAATTATTTTCTTACAATATTGATTTGTTTTTGAGACTATTATATCACCATTACTGATTTTGGAACTAAACAATTTAGTTTGCCTACGCTTCAACCACTGATTTTCAGAGATTGGCCTACAGTGAACATCAGAATTTGTTATCTAAAGAATGGTAAAATATGGGGCTGGAGAGATGGCTCAGCGCTTAAGAGCACTGACTGCTCTTGCAGAGGACCCAGGTTCGATTCCCAGCATCCACATGGCAGCTACACACTGTCCTTAATTCCAGTTCCAGGGGAATCCGA